CCACTTCTATCAATCGAACGGAGACTGCGACCACACCAGAGGCCACAACATCTTGGTCTTCATATATTCATTTAAATAGTAACTTTTATTTATGATTTCTTTAATCAAACTGACAACAGTGGACAATTGCTTCCACGATTACAATAATCCATTCCCATCAAGTTTTTTCAAAATGACTATGATTAAGCAATAGATTAATAGATCGTGAAAATTTGGAGAACATCAACATAACTGGTTTCGTGTCTATCAGCAAATAAATTTATACTGGCCTTCACATATGCTTCATCTAATGGCATTTTAGGCGCGATTTCCGGAAGAGCGGTAACGCTGATAGTTCCAAGCTTGATGTAAAGCATAACGTGAATGGCTCCGATTACATCCAAGCATATCGAGTCAACTAACTCTCGTCGATTACTCTGCATTACAAAGGATAAGAGTGTTGCAAGAGGCAAGTTTAACGGATTCATAAATTGGCTTGAATGGAATCCGAAAGAGGATTATCCTGGAGCTGTGACTATTGATTTGTGGGAATAAGTCCTTAGCTCACTGATAAAGTATGATCGTGAAATCCATGATAATGAGTAGTCAGCGTTTTGCAGATGTTAATAATCAGGACCAGGAATTAAAGCGATCAAGGAAAATTTAAGTTAATGACATTTACCTGTTTGGATTAATTGACAAATATGTTTCAATGTTAACAAATAGGACGAGGGAAAGCATAAATTTGAGGCAGGATAGACGATTGATTCAATTTCCCGGGTTCCTAATGTTACCCTCTTGTAATCTCTTAAAAAAAATGGACGAATTATTAAAGTAGTGGAACATCGGGATAATGTATAATGAAAAATAGCAGTTCTTAGTAATGCCATGATTTCAGAAATTTTCGAGCCTTCTCTCCAAGTCAGGCTGTTGCTAGTTTTTGTGTTCATATGGTATCTCCTTTGCGTGGGAGATCTGTCGATACATAAATAGGAGGTTACCTGAAATTAAAATATCCAGCAATATGTTAGGTATCCGAAAATCAGAACGGGCTGAACGCATATCTCACACAGATAATGCTTAGTTAGGAGCCGAGATGATGCCAGTTATTAGAAGATTAAGGAATCAACAAAACACCAACACCAACATACTATCTGAGTGAGTGTTACAAATTAAGCGTAAAATACTTGTGGCTGTTGGATATGATTGGAAAAAGAGAGAAGAGACAAGATGTACTACCGAGCAACAGTAGTTAGCCTCGAATATAGTTTTTCTTTTTCATACTCCACGCGACTCGAAAACATTATATTCAGACAACACACGTTGAATGGAATACAATTATATTCGTCAACATGCCAGGGTCCAAATTATAAATAATTTTTGGGTGGATGTAGCCATTTGCTCAATTGCACCCGCGTTACACGTCATCTGAAGCCACCTCACTTTTAAGCAAGCATTTGAGAAAGTAATTAAATAGCCTACCAAATCATGGGATATCTCGTTAAATGGATAAAATTGAGCAATATAATATAGGTAGAAATGCATTCGGGCAACTTGTATTAGTGTTTTGATAAATTCTCATAAATTTTGGTGTCCTGCTTTGATGATTTCCGTTACATAACGACGAAGGCCCAGTAATAATTCATCAGGGTCACTGGACGTTGAGTTGATGAATTATTCGCATATACCTACAGTCAAGTGTATAGGAAAGTCACACACGCGGATTTCCTTATTAATTTCTTATCCACTCATACATATAGAAAATATGCGTTTTCAAATTAATGGTACTAAGGGGTCTGAGTTTAGCATATGTAAGCCACAGGGACCAGGAAATTGTTAGATTGAGGCATATAATACTTCAAAACAATTACCAATATAATTAAATTTCAATATTTATTAACAGGATGAGAGGAGATTTCCATTTGTGGCAGGATATAAAAACATGCCAGATTTTGTTTTCCGGTCAGCTTCCAAAAGATTGAGTGACCTAGTGAGGAAATGGAACATCGAAACATTATTCAAAGATAAATTAACTCTTCCCTCAGTCCATCCTACCTTTCGATAATTTTCGGACCATCTTTTTAGATCAGGATGAGCAATGTTTTTTGTTCATGTGGTTATTTCTATGTGAAGGAGGCCTACCGGCACACCCAGAAGAGATTATGTGAACAGAAAATCCCTTGTAAAGGCCTATGGGTTCAAAAATCTGAGCTCGCTCAACACTGCTAGAAATCATTAGCCAACACCTTGTATGGAGGGAAAGAGTGTAGGAAATTTAGCCGGAACTATGGCTGAGATGTAGTATATTTCGTCAGTGTGATAAAGTCTTGCTTTTCAAGGTTATTTGAAGTATAATGGAAACATAAGGCTTACGCATATCATTCTGGTAAGATTAAAATACTATTCCTTAATCATCGCAAAGAAAAAAGTGAATACGTCTTATGTATATGATTTAATGGTAGTCTCGAAAGCCTACGTATACACAAATAACTATTTATGGTTACTGAAAAAGCTTGAGCTGAGGAAGTGCAGGAGAATCCATCGGGCAACAGAAGGAGACTGAAGTAGCGTCATCTAGTTGATATTATCACGCCTCTCATGACATAAACGTTACATACACATAATAGACAAAAGCACACCTAAACGTGAGTCAACATTATAGAATCGTACTGTAGTTTAATTATGTAAAGAAACAGCTGCCATTAAATCCATTTCCAGTTCACGAATTCGCTTCCTTTATCTGCAAGCAGTTAGAGTAAGTATAACTTAGCCGAGTAATTCATGCGATGCCTCATTAAGATCGCAAGGGTAGATGTAAAAGTAAGTGACTTGGATTGCAGCCGGTCACCTTTTCTCTTGGTTTAGTATATTTTTGGGTTATTTCGTAAAGTATGGATTTTTGCACTGATGATGTTTCTCACAGTATAGACGGTAGCTTAGTACTGGTTCACTGGAGTCGATGGGAAGTTAGCCAAGTACTTCTTCGAGAAATCCAACCCTACTCACTTCGCGACAACCCTCTTCAGGTTTCCGATGTGTTCAATTCACGAATTCTTTTCAACCAACTTTTTCTTCTAAATGGAAATCGTGTCACAGTACCAAGTTATTGTCCAAACCTTTGTGGCATTTCAAAAGCATCTATTTTTTACAGGCTTTCCATACCTTTTTGATGCAACTTTTTTATTTTTCAATAAACTTTCAAATTTTATCTGAATTCCTTCGCTTATAATCATTTATTATTTCGATGGGGCATAAAACGAAATGTCCTTAATATTATTTTTTTAAATAATTGTGGTATTATTACTTTCATCAATTCTACTTCCGATTTCGGCTGCCTATTTTAAGCCACATTTCTGGGAACTCATATAAAGCACACAGAGGCACAATTTATTCTTTACCATATCAATTGAACATTTTTTACTGATTGCCTTATCTGATGCTGATTATTAGTTAGACAATTTTTGCTCTTACTCTGTCTATCAAGTCCTTGTCTACTTAGCCAAAAGAGAGGGAGTCTCGAAAGAGGTTATTTACCTCGTAAGCAAAAGCAACTCTTATGGCTGCAGAGTTTATTAATACTGGCCCTGAATCTTTTATAGATGTGCGAGAACACACCTTTGTGTAATTCCTCATGATATACCTTATATTAACAATTTTTGTGACACATCTTATCATTACATATTTTTGTCTTATTGCTCCATTATTTCTTCTTTGTTTTGATGTTTCCATGTATAGCCTCATGTTTGGGACTATCTAATAACGTTTTTTATGTACTCTTTTTCGGTGCTTATTTATTTATACGATTCTACCATAGCCAAATAATGATTAAGAATATTTTTGTTCCAAACAAGTGCAATGACGGTGTGAATCTATCTCTACCTTTTGCTTTATCACATTATTTTTTGTGTACTTAGGCAAAAGAAAATCATCTCTTTCTGGTGTGCCCGATTAATGCTTTTCTCAAAACAAAAATAATTTTTCCCCTCCATGCAAGAATTAATTGTATGTTCTATTTTTCTCTGAACCAATTCAGTTAGCCAAGCTATGGAACTGATGCTTAAATTTATGTTCGCAAAAATTCCACTATTTCATAATTTTCCAGGTTAAGTTAAACGGACTATTCCATCTATTCAAAGCAAAGCATACATCTTTACATAAAAAAAATCTTATTTTGCACGGCTTTGTGCAACTTTGAGCCTTCTATTAAAATGGTAGAGCCTTATAGGATAATTTCGCATAATCATTCCCACTTATCTTTTGATGAGTTCCTTTGTGCATCCTCTCCTATATGTGACAGTTTTCATTCATTGGACTTAAGAATAAAGTCTTGTTTATTTGAAATTTCTTGCTGAAAGTTTCTTCAGCCTTAGGGATTCTCAGTGATAATAAAATTAAATATAGTCTTTTCGTGTTCATATTACTATTTTGCAACTGATAGGAAAGTGTTGATCTCTATCGGCTGGTCTTATGCTCCGTATAATTATAGATTTTAAAACGTCAACCTTTATTTTGCCAAGATAATTGCATTTGTTGACTTTCTATATACATCCATGCTTAACTTCACACTTGCCCTAATCAATAAAACATCAAGAAAACATCAATTATTGTCTTCCTCTATTTCCATTGTAAAATTTAGACTGCAATCAATCTGGTTAGTTAAGAACAAGAAATAATCTAAATTATCCTTTTTGAATTTACTTCAATTTCGAATGAAAGTGTTTACTAAATAGATCTGAAGGTCGATCCTACTAGAAGACGACGGCAGCTTCCTCTAAACAAGCTGTCGATTTGCACTTGTTTGGAACATTCTTGTTGACGCTGTCTCCGAGGTAATCTTCTTCGATTCCGGTGAAAACGTGCTGACCTTTCGTCCGTCGTATGCTTTTCTATATTCAAACATTCTATCCTACTACACTATTAGGTTTAGGGCCTTCTGGGAACTATTATTCATGGTGTCCGTTCTGCTATTATCATCTTCATTGATGTTTACCTGAGTCAAAATTATATATGTTTAGACTATTATGTCCACTCATCAGTTCGTAGGACTACATTTACCATAAAAAAATCATGTTACTACTATCTAAATATTTTTTATTCTTCTTCACTTCCTTAACAGACCAATTTTATCTCCCTGCCAGCCAATATTGGCTCCTGGAGGAAGCTCGGCATGCCTCGATCTGGAGAATGGCTAGCTGGCCGGCCGAATACGACATCTTTCAAACAACTGGTAGTACTACACTACCCTCTCCAACTATCATTTCTGCTTCTCCTAGCACTAGAAATGATGAAAGCATCACAGTTTTAGGCGCCAAACCGGTTTTTGATATCCACAAAAGCCCGAATTCGACAGATGAGCTTGAGGCGCTCGTATCTTCCTGGTCACCAGTGCATGGCTTGGAAACCACTCTCTTATGGGTTCAAGACTCTATCCATCGTATGGACT